TTCCATTAGCTTCTTCTTCTGCCAGCGCCACTTAGCCATGGATTGGAGACTGCTGTCTGAACTATGAACTGAAGAAGGTACGCTAATTCCTATAGTCTCAACATTGAGAATCCCCGAAAGCAAAATAATCAAAACCCTAATTGTATCTTAATGTGTTCATAATTTATCTATTGTTAATATCCCTTTATGCGAGATTTTTGCTACTATTTTGAGTGCAAATATGCTATTTATATGATTTTATCTTTATTTGTAGCTTTTGTACTCAAATGGAAGAATTGTTGAGGTTTTGGTCTAAATTGAAAAGAAAGAGCAACTAAAAAGGGCCTAAATGAAGATTGTAAGAACTAGTGAGGAAGAAATCACAAGACTTGAAGAGTTGGAGGAGTTTTAATTTAAATTGGCTTGAAAAAAAAATAACTTTCTTATTCCTGAAGAAATATGGTTTGAGGAAAGCCTATAAAAAGAGGATTAGGATTTTATTTTTGGGACAGAAAACCGAACCCCCACCGAAGCACAAAACACGACTGGCGGCAGTTTTTTTTTCTCTCCCCCTCACACCTTCCACCTTGCTTCCTTGCTAACACCGCCGACCTCCACCTTCCTGCTGCTACTTCATCACCGAAGCCATCATCATCATCCCATCACCGAACTCACCACCTTCCTGCCCACGCAACACCAGCGCCGCTTCACCCTTCGCGCACTTCACCACCATCCATAACGTACACCATCAACCCCATCAACACCATCAATGCCACACCATCATCGTCAACGCATTATCACCATCATCTCTAGGAGGGGAAAGCATGGACCGAAAGCAAATTCCGGGTTTTATTGCTTTTGTTCTAGTTATTAAATTTCAGATTTTTGGATGATGTCTCTAAATATTATTGAATTATTTTTAATAATGTTTAGTAGCTAAATTCTTTTAACTTAGGGCTTGCGTGTAGCCACCGGATTTTTTTAGTTTATTTGATTCATGATACTTTGATTTTTCCATAGATCAATATTTAATATTCTTGCTTTTAGTTCATGTTTATAACTGGCCACTACTTCCATGTTTAAAGATATTAATTGATGGAACGATAGTTGAAAATTAATATTAGTTCATGGGAATATTGGACTTAGGTAGTGAACCACGACAATAGGAACACAACATTTGTAACGTTAGATTCTTAAGTTCTTAATGTGCTTTTGTTAATCCTATAGTCATGAGAGTAGTCATAGGGTTAATCTAAGTAAGAGAATTATAACACGAGAGTGTATAGTTCTTAATTAGGTGAATCGTTATGAGATCAATGGAAGTTAAAAGTCAGATATTTATGAATTGAATCAAACCAAATATTCGGTAGGTGAACCCAATGTCCTAGGTTTTCCTTACTTGATTGTTTCAACCTTTGAAAGTAATTGCATATTTTAGATTCTAACTTTAGTTTCATTTTAATTGAAAATCTGAGATCATCATTTATATAGATAATAATCGGAGTAATTTATAACTGGTAATTAGTATTCCTTTTCTGTGAGTACGACCCTATTTTCCGCTATACTAGTGTTAAGTAGATGAATTTATTTGACTAATTGTGACGACGGCTTGTCATATCTGCCAAATTAGTCGTCCAAATTATAGCATTTGCCATCCTAAATTTGTTGGTGTTTGTTAAAATTTATTTCAAAAAATCACAAAAGATCACATTTCAATGTTTAGAAACCGAAGTCTTCCTCTTGCATTTTTCGGTTTTCATCTTTCAAGATGTTTAATGCAGAGCATCTATTTTTCAATAAAACCAATAGTTTATTAATTAAACTCAAGAGTTAATGGATTAAAGGTTTGATCTGTGCGGGATTAGATGATATTAGTTTTAATGAAGCTGTTTTGGCCTATAAATAGGAAGCACTAAAACATCTTTTTCATAATTCAGAAAAAAAAAATTGATTTGTCAACTTTTCCTTCAAACTTTAAAATCACTCCTCACGAGTAAATAACGTTGATTTTCTTTCTCTTCATTTTTAAATAATTTTACAAATATTAGATTTATATACTTATTAGTTCATGTACCCTTTAAATTTAAAAAAGAAGACTTGTTTTATCTTGGTAACATTTCATTACACCAAAATAGTTTCTTTAGGACAGTGCAATTCTGCGCGACTCAAGTATTTTATTTATATAGCATTTTTGGAGCATTCCCCAACAAAATTTTGATATGAACTATTGGCGTTTAACTTGCTTCTTCTATGTAGAGTCTTTAAAGTTACAATCTTTTATCATGCTTTTGAGTTGAGAATCCGATTATCCTTTTTTGAGTGGCTGTATTTACGAATGGAGACTTCAATACAATTAGGCTCAGGGGTGATGCCTCGCGAATTTATGGTTAATAATTCGTGTTCCACAACATCAAGTTTGCATTTTTACTTCAAGAACAACGGAAAAATGAAAAGGGGTCGTGACCAATTTGGGTATGAGAAGTTAAATAGCCATGTAATGATTCATGGGTGCTCGAGGGTGTATGCTTTTGGTGGGACTGGTAAATTGTATCATCAAAGGAAGGTAAACGGGAATTGGGTGTCATTAAGGTGTAAATGCCAAGGAGCTCAGAATGTTAGTGGGGCAATTGTCGAGAGTGGAAATGGGAAATTGGTGGATGGTGTTGCCAATGATTTGGCTTTACAAAATTTCGACAATAATAATCAGTGGTTTGAGAGTGAGAAGGGGGATTCTAGTTCCAGTGATGAATCTGCTGCCGCGTCTGAAATGAGTGATTCGTTGCAGGAGTTTGGGATTAATTCCGTGGAAGATGAGGCGTGGAATCTGTTGAGAGCATCCATTGTGTAATATTGTAATAATCCCATTGGGACCATTGCTGCTAATGACCCAAGTGCTGCTAATATGCTCAATTACGATCAGATTTTGATCCGTGACTTCATACCTTCTGGAATAGCTTTTTTTGCTGAAAGGGGAGTTTTGATATTGTTCGTAACTTCATTCTTTACACTCTTCAGTTGCAGGTAACTTCATTCTTCACATTCTTCAAACGGTATCAGAGTTTGCAATCATCTCTCAGTTGAGAGACAAAGTAATTTGCATAAGAATCTCGGAACAGTTTCTTACCTGAGTCAACTGGTTTTCAAATTGAAGATCAGTTGGCATGACTATAGATTGAAGAAGAAACTGAAGGCTATCGATTTTCTCTCTCGGCTCAATGAGATTAATATTTTGAAGATTGACTGCAGTTGTTTCCTGACTGGATGTTTTCATACTTGTTTCTTACCGCAATACCTGCTCATTCTTTTCTGACTTTGCTGAAAAACATTTTTTCTACTGATAACTTTGAAGGGTAATTGTTTGTAATTTCCCCTTAATGCATATCAATGCACTTCATCTGTTCCCAGTTTTAAGTAATTTAAGATGATAAACTGCTGATGGATTGCTAGTAATCATACACGGGATGCTTCCATCTTTTCCTCTGATCATCTGCTATGTAGTAAGTTTTTGAGAGGCTGTTGTCTCTGCCTAGTGATTCAAATGCCTTGATATGGATCCTAGAAAGTAAAATTAATTCCACTATTGGAATACATTAGCACTCTAATGCGCAAAGGTTTCTGGAGTTCAATTATCAGAGTAATCGACCTCAAGCCGTCTTTTAATTATTTTGAGCTGAATTTAAGTACACCTTCCATTCCAAAATGATAGTCCAATTTCATCTCTAGATGAACTTGTAGTAAAAATGAAAATCTAAATAGTACAATGATTTTGAAACAGAAATACATAATATTTATAAGTCCCGGGTGTTTCTTTGGAGCTCTGGCATATATGCAAGCAATGTATTTTGCCTTTTCCAAACAATATTCACTGCCAACCTCAAATTGCCTAGTAAAAATGAGAAATTATTCTGTGCAGCTGCTGTACTATATAGAATTGTGCAGCCAGACACAATAAATAGGGTAAAGTAGTAATTTTGGGAAAAAAGAGAAAATTTCTACGGGAGTTATAGCACCAAAATAGGGGGCACTAATACTTGCTGCACAAAAAACCAGGATACGACAGCTGTATCCAAAAACTTTTCAGTAAAAATTAGTCATAGTCGTTAATTAGCCCGACTCTCTAGTTAAATTTTGGATTTTGCTTGTCCAAGGGAAATGCATAGTTTGGTAGTATCCCAAATAGAAAGAGAGATTTTGTGTAGCTTTATAGAAGATCTAGCCATCCGGGATGTTTTTTATTTTCATCATTAAGTGGTGTGACTTCTTAATAATAAACAAAATCTCAAATGATAAGAGAAAATACCTTTGACCAGAAAAAGAAATCAATTTCAGTCGTTTTATATATATCATGAAAATCATGTCAGATTTACAAAATTCGTTGATGCTCTTTAATTTACGATTTGTTTATTCTAGACGAAGGGACTGAAATATTCCAGTAGCTCAGCTCCAAAAAGTGGACTAGAAGATTAACCGGGTGAGTAAACTTGAGAGTAAAAGTGGACACAGTCTAGCACAGGGCATCAGAGAATACCACTGTAAGGAGAATTCTTCAATTCAAATATATATAGCATCTCAAATAGAAAACATAATCGAAATGAAATAATGATATACTCCCTCCATCCCATAATTATTGTCCAGTTTAGATTTTGGTTTCTAGTTCAAATTATACTAAAAGTAAAATCTTAAACTGGACAATAATATTGGGACAGCGGGAGTAGTTGAAGTTAAAATATAGAATAAAAACATGACCTACTCCGTGTGATGTTGAAATGAAATGGAACACATTTGAAGGTAAACTAGAAAACAAAAGAGCAAGTGCATTGTGATTTTCAACTATTCATTGGTTTAGTAAGCTCGCCCCCATGACTTCTTGAAATGAAGAACAGAGAGAAATCCCAGCAAACCGACGACAAAACCAGGTCCTATACCAGAATAAAACCATAAGAACTCAAACTTGTCATTATCAACATCAATTCCAAGATTAGGACTCCCAGCAGGTTCATTTTCCATTGATGGGGAATCACCATGACAGCTCTTCGCTAGGGGCTTACCACAAAGTCCACTATTTCCTTCATAAATGGATGGATCATTCAAGGTATCAAAATGATTCCCTGACGGTATACGCCCTGTCAAATTATTGAATGACAAGTTGAGGTAGCTCAGAGCATCTATATTGGTCAAGCTTTGAGGGATAGTTTCAGATAGTTGGTTCATTGACAAATCCAGGGATTCTAATTGCTTCAAATTACCAATCTTCTCTGGGATCTTTCCAACTAAATTATTTCTTGACAGGTTCAAATTTAGCAGGCATTTAAGATCCATTAACTCATCAGGGATCTCACCTCCTAGGTTGTTCCCTGAAAGCATTATGGATTTTACATACTGAAGGTTTGAGAAATACTCCAGGTCTGTTCCTTTCATACTGTTCCATAGTGATGTCATGTAAACACCGAATGTTGTAAGTCCTCCTGACCCATTCGACAACATCATACTCAAGTTTCCTAGACAAGGAGGGATGGAGCCAACCAAGTTGTTATCTGCTAGATTTAGAATTTGAAGGGAAGGCAATTGGCAGAGATTGGTGGAAATGTTACCATTAAAATTGTTTGTTTGGAGCATAAGAAAACGCAGATTTGAGAACTCTTTTCCAATCCAATCTGGGATCAAGTCCCTCAACTGATTATTGCGGAGATCAAGAGTGATCAAAGATTTCAAACTTTGTAATGACGAGGGAAGCACCCCAAAGAACTTGTTCCCATTTAAACGCAGTTGCTGGAGGCTCTCCAAGTTACCAAGTGTGCCTGGAATATGACCTGAAAGCCTATTATTCGCAAGATTCAACACTATCAGCTGCTTTAGGTTGCCAAGGCATGCGGGAATTTTCCCAGTCAGCTGGTTGTTGGCAAGTGATATGACCATTAAAGAATGCAAGTTGCACAATTCATCTGGAATGCTGCCCGTCAAACGATTGCTAGCAAGGTTAAGAAATTCAAACGACGAGTATGTCGAGTAATTCGCATCAAATAATGGAACAGGCCCTGTTAAGAAGTTGCTGGAAAGATCAAGGTAACTAAGACTAGCAAAATTAGTCCCGAACCAATCAGGAAAAATACCAGAGATGCTGGCATTTGCCAGGCTTAGCCCAGAAATTTCTGTTTGAGTTTCAAGCCATGGAGGAAACTGGGATCCTATGAAGAGAGAATCCATCGTAAGGTCGAAAAGCTGAAACGGGGGAATCCATTGGGGGCTAACCCTTAAAACAAGAAACTGGTTTTTCGAAATGTCCAAGACTCCCAAACTTTTGAGTTCCACAAGATCAGATTCAGAAAGCTCACCAGACAATGAATTGTATGAAACATCCAATTGATAAAGTTTAGTAAGATTCAAAAAAGTTGGAGAAATTGTACCAAACAACTGATTATACTTTAGACTGAGAACTTCTAAGATCGAAAACTGTCCAAAACTTGAGGGAATTGGACCCTTGAAATAATTATGAGAAAGATCGAGGTACATTAGCTGTTTGAGATTACCAAGCTCGCTTGGTAATTCTCCACCGAGATTGTTGCTTCCCAGATAAAGTTCTTTAAGAGAACTCAGGTTCCCAAGGCACAAAGGAAGTGATCCTTCAAGTTGATTATCACTGAGATCCATGGAAATGAGACTAGTAAGGTTACACAATGAATCTGGCAGTGAAGAACTAACGGAATTGTACATCAGGTAAAGCTCAGTAAGAGTGGTCAGTTTTCCAAACATGTCAGGGATCCGACCTCGTAAATTACTATTACTAAGATCAAGATCCGCAAGGCTGCTAAGATTGAACAACCAGATAGGTAAAGAGTTGAGGCTGTTTCTACTAAGGTCAAGTGAAACAAGCGATGTGAAATTAACATGGGAAACAGAAAGAGAAACAACTGTATCGACTAATCCACAACCCGCCAGTGTCAATGATGACAAACAAGGCAGCGTGTTAATCGAAGAAAACCAATCTAGAGATTCACTCATGTTGGTGTTACAGAAGAGCAGGGTTCTTAAGGAAGCTAGTCCGGAGATCCACTTGAGACTCTTGGTAGTTAAAACAGAAGGGAAAGAGAGAGCATAAACTGAGTCACCAATATATAATCGTTGCAAGTTGGAGAGATTTCCAAGATGTGGAGGAACCTCCCCAGAAAAGTTTGCACCAAAGAGATTGAGATGTTGCAAATTTGTCAAGGATCCAAGAAATGATGGAATTGGGATACCTGAAAAGTCATTGTAACTGAGATCCAAATACTCCAAGTGCTCCAAATTCTGTATGGATGGGTGTATTTTGCCTCCGAAGCAACTGTCATTACAGGTGAAGAAGTCATTGACGAAGTCGACAACAAAAGGGCCACTAAGATTGAGCTTTTGAACGGCGCTGGTGAGGTTGTTGCAGGTGATGCCATCCCAAGAGCAGCAGTCTCGCCCTTTCCATGACGACAAACGATTCGTTTTATCAATCAGGCTGCCTTTGATCTCCAGGAGAGCTTGTCGTTCTCTGTCGATGCAGCTTGAATTGATTGAATGTTGATCTGAAGCACTTTCTATGTAGCCAAACTGAGATGTTAAGCAAACAAACTGAACAATAAACATGAGCAGGGTTAATCGATTAGGAAGGCTTTCCATTGTTTTGTTGGTTTACTGAAAAACATAACAAACTAAATCTGAAAGGTTTGATTGACTCAAGGGACATAGTTTGTGAACTTATTCAACATAGTACGTATGTACATCTGGGGAGGTTTGATCGTGGAAGAGATATTTTGCAAGTCTTTTACGCGTGAAAGACGCTTAATTGCGGTATGTTTCGAGCACTGGAAGAATACATTTTTGTTTTGAACATGTAGCAAATTCGTCGCGATGGAGATATCCAAAAAAAACATTGTAGTAATACTACCTTCAAAAGAAATACTACCTCCGTCCCAAAAAATAGTCCACATTAAGTTTTAAAATTTGTACTGTTTTTAGTACAAAATTCAAAATTTAATGTGGACTGTTTTTTTGGGGACGGGGGTAATAATATTATTGGTGAGCATTATTTTAATGGGGTTGGTTGAGAATATTCTAGTAATTAAATTACCTTATTTAAGTGTTTTTAAACTGTGTGCAGGGAGTAGTATCTTACTGTGAACCGTCACTATTTGATAACCCTTTTGCACAACTATGTAATCCCATCATTTTAACTGTCAAACAACGAATGTAAATGTAAATCTAACCCAAACGGAGATCATGTTAGAACCGGAATGTAGTATGCCACTGATTAGGAAACAGGTGGCTTACGGTGGAACCCGGGAAAAAGAACGAAGCAGGACCCTACTCTCATCTATTCGGCCCCACGCTCCAACACTTTTAAGTTCACTATTGGTTAGTCCATCACATAGAGTAGGTCCTTAGTTTCATACTTCCATTAGCTTCTTCTTCTGCCACCGCCATGGATTGGAGACCTCTCTCTGAACTCTGAACTGAACAAGGTACGCTAATTCCTATAGCCTCAACATTGAGAACTCACAGTTAATCCGCTTTTTGAATCCCCGAAAGCAAAATAATCATAACCCTGATTGTATCTGCCGAATTAGTCGTCCAAATTATAGCATTTGCCTTAAGAATTTTTCATATGCACTATAGGGGTTTAACTTGTTTTCTTCTTTGTAGCGTTTTTAAAGTTACAGTATTTTATCACGTTTTTGAGTTGAGTGTTTTATTCTGTACTGGGATTGCAGGAAGCATCCTCTTATCCTTTCGAGTGGCTGTATCACGAATGGATACTTCAATAAAATTAGGCTCAGGAGTGATGCCCCGTCAATTTATGGTTAATAATTCGTGCTCTACAACAGCAAGTTTGCATTTTTACTTCAAGAACAACGGAAAAATTAAAAGGGTCCGTGGCCAATTTGGGTATGAGAAGTTGAATAGCCATGTAATGATTCGTGGGTGCTCGAGGGTTTATGCTTTTGGTGGGACTAGTGAATTGTATAATCGAAGGAAGGTATATGGGAATTGGGAGTCATTAAGTTGTAAATGCCAAGGAGCTCAGAATGTTAGTGGAGCAATTGTCGAGAGTGGAAATGGGAAATTGGTGGATGGTGTGGCCAATGATTTGGCTTTACAAAATTTTGACAATAATAATCAGTGGTTTGAGAGTGAGAAGCGGGATTCTAGTTCCAGTGATGAATCTGCTGCCGCCTCTGAAATGAGTGATTCGTTGCAGGAGTTTGGGATTAATTCTGTGGAAGATGAAGCATGGAATCTGTTGAGAGCATCCATTGTGTATTATTGTAATAATCCCATTGGGACCATTGCTGCTAATGACCCAAGTGCTGCTAACATGCTCAACTATGATCAGATATTCATCCGTGACTTCATACCTTCTGGAATTGCTTTTTTGCTAAAAGGGGAGTTTGATATTGTTCGTAACTTCATTCTTCACACTCTTCAGTTGCAGGTAAATTAATCAAACCATCATTTCTATACTATGATAGGTAGTATACATGAGTACCTGTTTATATCAGAGTTTGCCATCATCTCTCAGTTTATAGACAAGCAATTGCAAATGAAATCGGAACTGTTTCTTAACTGAGTCTACTGGTTCACAAATTGTAGATCACTTGGTATGACTATATATTGAAGAAGAAACTGAAGGCTAACAATTTGTCTCTCCGCTCAATGATATTAATATTTTGAAGATTGACTGCAGTTGTTTGCGGACTCTATGTTCTCTAATTTTCTTTGACCAACAATGTATAATGTATGCTAGCTTTTTCTTACAGCAATAAATGCTTATTCTTTTCTGACTTTTCTGAAATATGCTTTATATACTTCTAACTTTGAACGTAATTTTTTGTAATTTCTCTGTAATATTTTCATATCAATGCACTTCCTTTGTTCCAAGTTATAAGTGGTTTAAGATGATAAACTGCTCATGGATTGCTAATCATACATAGGATGCTTCCATCTGTTTCTCGGTATGTTATGATGTGCTATATAGTAAATTTTGAGGGTTTTATCTCTGCCTACAGATTCAAATGCCTTCATTGGGATCCTAGACAATAAAATTAATTATTTTGGTTCTTGTTAGAGTCAATATCAGATGGTTGCAACAAATCTTGTTCGAGTATATCAAATTTTATAATTATTAAACATCTACCTCATTGCTAATTAACGTTTCAAAGTTGCATATTCTTGCTGTGTTCGAATTATGGGTACGTGGGGGATTACAAAGGGTATGTACTAATGAGAGATTCTTTTTAAAGTATGGTGACCGCTTTTTTTGTTCCTGAAGGTATATTTTTGGCCGCTGTATGTAATGCTTTTGCAATTTTATGGGTAGCCACAAGATAATATTAATTGATAGTCTTTTATGTTCATGAGTAGTCTTTTAGTATTGATTGATAGTCTTTTAGTTATGTTCATGAGTAGATTATCCTTTTAATCTGGTAAACTTCATGTTCAAATACTATTCGGTGCAAATTTGGAAGTTGAGAATGTTGCTCGGAGTCCTCATGTTGAAGAAATTTTTGAACTTTTCATGATTTTAGACTGGAAAATTGTCTTTGGAAAGATGATTTTGATATTGCGATGTAAATAATTATATTCTGTTCAACTTCTTCATATGTGAATAGAGTTGGGAGAGAACTATGGATTGTTACAGTCCTGGACAAGGACTAATGCCTGCCAGCTTTAAAGTGCGCACTGTCCCCCTCGATGGTGACGAGTCTGCAACAGAGGAGGTGTTGGAGCCAGATTTTGGTGAGGCAGCAATTGGTCGGGTTGCACCAGTTGACTCAGGTAGGTTACTACTTTTGCTCAGGGAAGGCATTTGGTGTTGTGCAGTTGAAGGATCATTTTAGCGCTATGTTGTCTTATTCTTATGTTCATCATTCTTCTGAAGGCTTGTGGTGGATTATTCTCTTGCGAGCTTATGGCAAGTGTTCGGGTGATTTATCAGTTCAAGAGAGAGTTGATGTTCAAACTGGAATCAAGATGATTCTAAAGCTATGTCTTGCAGATGGCTTTGACATGTTTCCTACCCTATTGGTGACTGATGGTTCTTGCATGATAGATCGCCGCATGGGCATTCATGGCCATCCTCTGGAAATTCAGGTACTTGATTGTTCTGCTACTTCTGTCTGTCTTGCCTGTTAGCATGTGCCCTGTTCATTTAGTTGCATCGCCTTGTAATGGTCCCTCATTTTCTTGATGTGTGTTGCATGTGTTTTATTGGTTTGAATCTATCTTCGAGCTGTGCATCTTAAACAAACTCTCTTTGCTGTGTTTCTTGTACTAGGGTCTTTGGGCCAAGGTTGGTGATACTTCTAGCATGTCAAAACCTTGCATTTAATCTCCACCCATTTGCTGCAGCAGTAAAGGCTATAGATGAATCTTTTTTAGGCTAAAGGTGAATCAAAAGACTAGACAACTTCTTCAGAAAACCATCAATTCTCAGCCATATAGTGGGTTGAATGTAGGTTTTATCTGGGAAAATTATGAAACCTGAGGTTCTAAACTGAACCTTTTATTCTATGTGCTTAGTATCTTTGACATCTCTGCTGGTGCCAAACCATCTTAGGTTTTGCATTATTTCTTCTTAACTAATTATTTACGACATGGTTCCGAGTGTCATTGCCTTCTGATCATTTGTGGAAACATAAAACTGAAACAAATACAGTTATAATAAAATGTAGATTCATTTTCTCATTGGATACGGAAGGAAGTTAGTTGCATTTCCTCTGCATAGCAATATTCAGGCAGCAATGTGACAGCAGATGTCTTAGTGGTTTCTTTTCTATGATTTTTCTTCCTAATATGACTTAAAATGATGCCAAAATAAGAGAAGGTAAGACAATTGACTTTTCATCTTGTATTCTGTTATGTATTGTGTTAGTAAAGAACATGCTTCTCTTCCACAAATCACAACTAAATGTTACAATGTGGTTTTTTTCTTTCCAGCATCTCCATTTTGACTTGTTGGTGACATCTGCAGGCATTATTCTTTTCAGCCTTACTTAGTGCTCGTGAGATGCTTGTGCCCGAGGAAGCATCAGCCGACCTACTGAGAGCACTCAATAATCGTCTTGTAGCTCTATCATTTCACATAAGAGAATACTATTGGATTGACTTGAAAAAACTCAATGAAATATACCGATACACTACAGAAGAATATTCTTATGATGCTGAGAACAAGTTCAACATTTATCCTGATCAGATACCTCCATGGCTGGTGGAATGGATGCCCAGCAAGGGGGGTTACTTCATTGGAAATCTGCAGCCAGCACACATGGACTTCCGTTTTTTCTCTCTTGGAAATTTGTGGTCTGTTGTCAGTAGTCTAGCAACTACAGACCAGTCAAATGCTATATTGGATCTTTTTGAGGCCAAATGGGAAGATCTTGTGGCTAATATGCCCCTGAAGATAGCATACCCTGCGCTCGAGGGAGAGGAGTGGCGAATCATCACAGGCTGCGACCCAAAGAACACGTAATTACTTCATTATTGGATACTGTATTCTTATCATGGTGATTGCCAAATCTTTCTCACTACAAAATTTTTGTATGCAGGCCATGGTCTTACCATAATGCAGGTTCATGGCCAACTTTACTCTGGCAGGTGAGTCTTACATTTTATATTCTTTGGTTCCGTTGCTTCTATTTTTTTTATTTTTATTTTTTTTGAGCATGAACTACTTTTCTTCATTCACTGCATTGAATGACATCTTTTGAGACTGGTAATATAGTAAAAGCTGATAATTTAGAGCCTACTCAAAAGCCGTGTCGGAAATTAGCCTATAGGATATCTGATATGCGATACAGAATTGTCATTATAGATTCTGATCAAATATGTTACCCTCAGTTGACTGTGGCGTGCATAAAGATGAATAGACCAGAGATTGCCGAAAATGCGATCAAGATTGCTGAGAAACGGATAGCTAGAGACAAGTGGCCCGAATATTATGACACCAAAGGAGCAAGATTTATTGGGAAACAGGCGCGCCTCTTCCAAACCTGGTCCATTGCTGGATATCTAGTGTCAAAGCTCCTCATTGCAAATCCAAATGCAGCAAATATGCTAATCAATGTCGAGGATTCAGAATTCCAAAATGCATTCTCGTCTGCAATTAGTGCTAATCCCAAGAAGAAGCGTCCACCAAGAAAGTTGAAGAAAAGTTATATAGTATGATTATTATCATGATCCCACATTAAGTACCCCTATTTGGTATTCTTGCACAAATTCAGATGTTCCGAACTTCCTGACGGCTCAGCCTTGTGCAAACTAATTATATAGTTCAGCCATTGTACCATAGTAGGTTTTGTTCTCCTGTGGTGAATGTACAGAGCTCTATAGTTTTAAGCAACCAATACAGAATGTCTCTTCTTCTTTTGCAGGAGGAATTCTTTCTTCTTATCTTCTGATTCTGAGGCATTTCAGATAGTAGATCATATCTTGCTTGAGTTCAAAACCTTCATTTCCTTTTTGGTTGGATTCTATGCAAATCTCGTGCCGACGTTGATAGTTACATAAAGCCTTCATTTCCTTCCTGTAATGTTGGATGATTGGGTTGACAAGAGGATTGGAAGCTCATTGTCTCTTTCTCTTTGGAAACGAGAAAGGTTAACTTACATTCTAAAGTAAACGTGTTTCGAAACAAGTGTCATTCTTCATTATCAATGCACATTTTGTTAAAATTTTCTAGAATGATCCTGAAATATGTACCGTAATTAATTCGCACAGTTAATTTCCCATCAACAGAGAATAATACCATGGTCAATATCGTTTGAGAAGCAAAAGTGGTATGGAACATGGAAGTAAAGAAAATATGGCCGTCAATCTAACCATAAAACAAGAGAAGGAACATATAACTAACTGTATCCGCCCGCGGGACAAATGAAAATCTGCAAAACTACAACGTAGATCATGAGCCAGGCGCCAACCTTGAGCGACTAGATAAATGTGAAGCGACCACCCTAATGACATAAACAGACAACGCCAACCAAAACCCACAAACTTCTGTCATGCAAAATAATGCAGCTGATATTGTGAGCAATTCCATCAGGCTTTTTTTTTCCGGAATTTCCAAGGCACCAATGAGTTACGTAATCATCTCACTCGTTTTTTAACCTTAGATTAAAGTTATTTTATGCCTAAATTAATTCTTATTTAAACTGAAAGCTAAAATATAGTGATGTTAAAGATGAAAATGTATTAATGATCCTCTGTCTTAAATTATTTTACAATTAATTATTATTATTATTATTGTTTTCATTCTCTTGAAATTTACACGGAAAACATCTTATCGTGCTGCTTTCTTTTAGTCATCTTACAGTTCTCGACCAAAAATAAATAAATACATACAAAAAAAAAAAAAATCCGAACATGCCATTCCTTTTTATCTTATGCAGAAGCATACTTTTATTATAGTCCAAATAAATTTAAATATAATTTGGAATCCATGCATATTTCGGAAGTTAGTTATCTTAAAGTTCTCAACAAAAAATAAAAAAATAAAAAATCTAGACATGTTATTCCTTTTTATCTTGTGCAGAAGTATATTCCACTATAGTCCAACTGAATTTAAATATTTCTGAATACGTACAAGTTAATTGTCTTAAAATTCTCAACCAAAAAAAAAGAGAAAAAAAAAATCTGAACATGTCATTCCTTATTATCTTCATATGATTCGATTTTTATACCAATAGTTTTAGTTCTATAGTGAAAATTTATGGACAAGACATATATTTAAAAAGAAGGATAAAGGGGAATAATTGATTTGGGTGCGGAATTTTTACTAATAGTTAGACTTTAAAATACTGTTGCAGTCACCAAAACACCGTAATTTGGTGTGCACTAAATTGGTGTTGGGGTGGTCTCATGACCGAAAGCACCAACATAGAGAACTGCAATCATCTGAAACGGATCCCCGAGCATATAGAGAAAGTAGATTAGGCCACCTTTGTCCAAAATGTTCCTTTTCATAGAACCACAGGTTAAAAAAAATCTATGTATAACTTCAGATGAACTTTCAGCAAGTTAACGGAGGTTTCTCGAGATATCATTCTAACAGAGAACACGTGTACTTACTCGATTCCAAAATAAGTGTCATTCTACAATTTACACACAGTTTAAGAAAGATTTAAATAGAATAGTAAAATTATTTGAATATCCTCAACTAAAGCAGAATTGTAATTTTTCAGTGTCTGATCGAATTTTGTCATCCTCAAGCGACGGTAGCTTACATAAAGGCGGCGATTAAGGTTGCTGAAAGCATTCGGAATTTCTAAATGCATTCTAGTCTGCAATCAGAATCCTACATTACATACCCTATGGAAACAAATGGGAACAAATTATGTAGTTAATTCATTGTACAAATATAGGTTTTCTTCTCCTCTCGTGAATGTACAAAGCTCCATAGTTTAAGCAACCAATGCAGAATGTCACTTTTCTTTCCAGCAGCAAAATAGTTTTTTATCTTCTGGTATTCGGGCATCTCATGTAACGGCTACCATCAAATCATGAGGAATCCACCAAATGTGGGTTTTCCCCTAATATGCTTTCCAGTAGGGATTCACAGGCATCTTCAAGTAAATCTAAAACCTGAACAACAAAGAAATTAAAAACCCAAAGAAAACTTTGACGATCAGTAATAGTTCATATCTGGCTAGAGTTTAGCTTTCCACAAGGCAATAAAAACATCAATCTTGTTCCACCCAAAAAGAAGTGTGGTAAAGCGAACAAGAAGAAGAAAGTTCAGAGTGCATTAGTCCAGGACTCCAGGTGCAAATCAGATCTTAAGATTCCAGATAACCCTTTTTTAAGTGTACCAAAATATGGATGCAACCATGCAGGCCGCAAGGAAATGAATAAGGCAAAGTGATGAAAGCAGCTTTGTTTTAGCAGGAAACAATCGGAAAACGTAAAAGAAAACGAAATGCAGTAGGATGAATAATCATCGCCAAGGAGAAGAGTGTGAATATCCAGCAATTGGCTGCCTATCCATGCAAGATGTCAAGGTCCTTGAAAAGATAGATTACTTGGGAAATGCCTACTATAAATCCAATCACATATGAAAGAGCGCTATGAGATGCTCATAGAAAATTATTGAATCTACCCATACTCAACCATAAAAGTGGAGAAGAGAAGTATAATATAATAAGGAATGCATCACATTTATAAAATATATAGAGTGATTCAGCAGATGGGAAGTTACCAAGAACTTCAGTTAAATTTAAACCAACCAGGCTGTATGAAAAACAAACTGAAGAAGGATTTCTCTGCCTCGCAAATCATGGGTGATATGATCTATACTCACCCTCACGGGATGACAGACGTAAAGAAAAGGATTTAACTTGAAGCTATTATTAAAAGCTAAAGAAAAAGCATATATCTATTTCTAAAAGTCTAGGCATGGACACATCCAAGGAAGACTGAAGGGAAAGAAAGCAAGACAAACTGCAGACATGCTTGTATTTTGCTCAGCTTGTTATGTTTGACCTTGTCAGTAAACCCAGGGGGCTTCAGGAAAGGTGTTAAGTCATCTTTTCTGTTTTCAGGCTTGATATTAGAGGTGATCACTGATAAAAATGAAGGGCATATATATTCCTCTGGGAAATTGAGGAAATAATCTACAAATTAGAAGCATTTTCCCAAGCGGAGAGCAGGGAAATCTGCATGTTCATTCAGCTATCTCTTATCGAGTTCAATTTGTGCAAATCAAAGTGAATATAAACAAAACTTCTGGACTCAATTACACTACTTGACCGAGGTAAGGAAGATGTTCAATAGACAAGCATTAGGACAAATTACTCTGAAAATGATGACAACCCAATCGCATATGACCATGACATGCTTTTAGTTATAGATATTATCAAATCTACCAACACTCAACCATAACAAGTAGAGCATACAAATGAGTTATAATCAGAAATGCATCACATTTCTAACATATATAGAGTGACTCAGCAGATGGAAAGTTGTCAAGAATTTCAGTTAGATTTAAACCTCCCCAGAAGCCGTATCAAATACTGGCTGAGGAAGGATTTCTGTGCCTTGCACAACATGGATGATATGATCTACACTCACTCTTATGGGATGAAAGACATAAAGAAAAGAATTTAACTTAAAGCAATTATTAAAGCTAAGTAAAAGCATATTTTCTCTGTTTCTAAAAGTCTAGCCTTGGACATCCAGGAAAAACAGAGAGAAAGAAAGCAAGACAAACTGCAGACATGCTTGTGTATTCTTTTGTCAGCTTGTTATGTTTGGTCTTGTCAGTAAATCCATAGGCCTTCAGGAAAGACCTTATGTCGTCTTTTCTGTTTTCAGGGTTGATATTAAGAGGTGATCACTGAACTAAAGAGCATGTAGATTCCTCGGGGCAACAGAGGATAAAATTTACAGATTAGAGGCATTTTCACATAAAAAGAGAGCATGTTCATCCAGCTAATCTCCAATCAGTTCAACTTAGTGCAAATCAAAGCGAATATAATGGAGACTTCATTACTTCATTACACTAATTAACCCATGTAACGAAGAAGTTCAATAGACTGGAAGCATGATGATTGAATATGCTATATCAACTTAGGCAAGTGCAACTTATAACGTCATTCAAAATTCCAGCAAAAAGGTACAAGCTAGCATCTACACAGCAAGAGATTATCTGTTACATCATTACCTTCTCGAAACCCTTTGCTCCACCATAATAAGGATCGGGGACTTCAGTTTCCTTATGCTTCTTACAATAAGAGCACATTAGTCGAACCTGCATAACAAATGCATCTTACTAATCAGCAAATCAAGCAACACATCCCATTCAAATAAAACAGTCATTTCCCGACCTTCTTAGCTGCAGCGTCAGGCAAAGGTTCTCTATGCCTCCATTTCTCAAATGCTGAAAGGATATCCTCTACATGCAAAAAAAAATTTTCAAAATAGATAAAAAAGTTTCCACACAAATGAAATCAAGCAAATTGTTTTGCCATTAATTATCAATAGTAGTATATAGACTGTACCATAAGTTCAAACAATTTAACAAAGGACTGATACCAAGCAATGCCATTGACCTACCTCTATTTGACCTGTCCATTGCGAGAATAAGATCAAAATCAATAAAATCAGATCGCCTAATTGGTCTTGATATCGAAGTTATCTCAACTCCACGGTTTTTTGAGGCGGCCCTCATTCTTGGATCAGCTTGATCACCCTTAAAATAAATTACAGTAACGAGAATGAATGTGTTAGATAGTAAAACAAACGGAAAAACAAAAAACTCGAAAAGGGTTCACCCCACCTAATCAATTACATCACAAAGATAGCAAAAAAAAAAAGAGATTCTGAATTTACCTCATGGTAGTTGATGGTGCCAGCAGAATCAATATTAAACTTAGATTCAAGGCCCTTCTTCTTGACCAAGTCCCTGAATACACCTTCAGCAGCTGGACTCCTACAGATGTTGCCAAGGCAAACAAAGAGAACGGAGAAAGGTTTAACCTTTGAGCCAGTTTCTGCAGGGGATGATGTAGACGAAGACATTGTTGCTTTGAATGGAATTATGGGTTTCCTATTTTTATACAAAAAGTTGGGATTTTGAAGAACTGGGAAATGAGGTTCCCACCTTGGTTTATGTTTCCGATTAAGAAGAAATAATGGGGAATTTGGAAGGGGCAGAAGGAGTTGGGGGTAGGAGTGGTGGCATAATGGTAAATTTGTAGTTGTTGGTGATACCAAATCCAATGATGAAATGGAATAGCAGCTGTTATACAAAGCCTTCATTGCCTTTCCAGTAAAGTTGGAGTTATGTAATGGACTTGGAGCCGAGTTTCTGTTTTTGTTGTTGATGAAAAAAACTTCAAAAAGGTTGATAACAAAGGGCTATTTCAAGGCCCCCGAGAAGATATTTTCTTCACTTTGTTTTCTTGTTTTTATTGATGCTGATAAATACTCCGATAAGCGTCCATTTTATCGAAATGATTTTAGTTTAACGAAGTAGATTATTAAAATCGGATGAAACGAGTAGCAAACAAATTTGAGAAAGTAGCATGAGAAGCAGCAGAACAGCGGCTTCATGAAGATGCTTCACATTTCAATATACATTAAAACATTGTCTTTGAATGTACAATATTTGCTTGCCCTTTGTCGATTGTACTTAGGACGACAAACCACCCTAGTCGAGATTGAAGACAGAACCTAATCTTTACCCACAAGTATTATCTGAATATATGTGCTAAAACATATCAAACACTATATCTTCTACTATTGTCCCACATTCTTTTTCTTTACCACTCTTTCCATTCTCCTTATCTTGTGAAGCCAAGTTCGGAGTTACTGTTCCAAACTCACAAACTTTTGGCACCTCTGGAGGAACGGCACATCGGATTAAAGCCCAATTCAGGCCTTCAAAGAAGGGATGCTGCTTAATCTCAGCAGCACCTTTCTCTGAACCGAGCCTGTTTTCAGGCTCCTTCTGCAACAAACGTCGGATTAAATCTCTAGCATTCGAACTGACATTGGGGCTCGCCGGAAACTTGAGACATTGAGATACAATGTTAGATAATGTATCATCATTGCTTTGCCCTTTGAATGGTGTCTTGCCATACAAAAGCTCATACACAAAAATTCCCAAGGTCCACCAATCTACAGCGCTCCCATGACCTTCACCTTTTATGATCTCTGGTGCCAAGTATTCATGTGTCCCCACAAAGGAATTTGATCGTGCATTAGTCGGCTCCACTATAAGCTGCGGTAGGGGACTGACCTGTGTAGCTAACTCAGATTTTAGCTTACGGGTTTTGGCTGCTGCAGAAAGAAATCTGGGATTGAAACATGACATTTGCCAGGAGGGATGCAAACAGAAAGGGTCGATGCAGCTGGACTCCGAGTTAGGACTTGGCATCCTCTTTGGAGGCTCCACAACAGGAGAAGATGATTTAAGCAAAGTCAGATTCACAGAACATCTGAGGGATAAATCAAAATCTGTGAGCATGATGTGGCCATCTTCCCTGACCAAAACATTTTCAGGTTTCAAGTCCCGATATACAACTCCAAGCATATGAAGGTACTCCAATGCCAGAAGAACTTCAGCAATGTAAAACCTGCTCAAGCATCACAAGGAAACCATAAGTTGACTGCATATATGCTCCAGGTCTCAGAATGGGACATGGATATAAAGGAAATCCCAATGAGTATTAGCTTTTGACATTCTTCAGAAGCTATTTCAAACATGCTTGTACCAATGTAAAATTTGAATGCCCATGCTGTAATAATATGAAATCAATATTGCCAGTAAAAAGATATTTTTCTTTCAGGTCTCTCCAGCGTAAAGAAGTTCCAGCTAGCGTAACAATCAATGTCAATATAGTTCTGGTTGCATCACTAAAGCCAAACTTAATATCCCCAGAAAACTTGAGGGAACAGCAAAACACCCCCAAACCCAAAGTAATCATTACAGACAATCATGTCAATCAACATATTCATCAGGCCCCCAAAATCAGTAGGAAAATTCCATAGATAATAAAGCGCTGTGAAGATCAATACTTAACATTTAGCCAGACATTTCTATCCCTTTAAGAACTATTCTATACCAAATATTTGTCTATTTTCTCTGCAGCTTATTCATTTAAATCCTGCAAGGTTTTGATGAATTTTGCACCGTAGCATGAAGTGACTGTGGAACTTGATTAAGCTGCAGCAGAGAGAATATACCAGCGCACAAATGCGGTTCAAAAGCTTCTAAAGCTGAAAAATATTAATAATAAAAGCGGGGTTCTGACAAATCAAAAGCTGACTTACTGTTCATGTATCAAATTAAAATCTGATGCTGACTGAAAACCGAAAGGAACTCGAAAACACATAATAGACAAAATGTATACATCCCAGGCCAACTTATCTTCGACATTTAACCCATTGGATGGGCACCTGAGTCTCAGTTCTGGAGAGCTATTTTGCTTACTAGTGGTTTCAACGATAATATAGTTAAACAGATTGAGAAGCATATAGCAGAAGCAGAGGCAACGATAATAATTCAGGCGATAATATAGGCACCTGAATTTATTCACCACTTCTAATGGCTAAAGAGAAATACAACATAAAAGTTGAAGACGGGAAGGTACTTCAATAATTCAGACAAAAAAGAAGACAAGCATTCATACAAAAGACCTTGGAAATTTTTATTTCCTATAAAAACTAAAAAGCAAAACAGTATTGGAATGACTTGTCATACTTGTGGGATGTAGCCTCATATGTTACCTGGCTGCTTGTTCAGAAAAGTTTTTGCATGGTTGTTTTTGCCGCAGAACATGCAGATCTCCACCTGGACAGTATTCCATAACTAAGCAAGAGAACTTATCGGTTCTAAAGTGCGCATAGAGAGAAGGGAGAAACGGGTGATCAAGCATTTGAAGTATCTCTTGTTCAGTTTGAGCTCTATTGATCTTTTTACGGCTAGCGAGAAAATGATTATCCATCACTTTCACAGCAAATAAGCAGCTCGTGCTTATTAGCTCAGAAAGATAAACATTCCCTATATCCCCACCACCAAGCTTTTTAAGAAGCTTAAAATGTCTCAATCCAAGGTTTCCATACTGCTTCTGGATGCAATGAATAGCATTCCATCTCAAGTCCTTCGCCATATGAGGCCTGTACCCACTACGATTCGACCTACTCAGGTAGCTTTCTTCACTGGAGGTCGTGGTACTGCTATAATCTCCAATGCTACTTTTTGAGCTTTGGGAGATATCTCCCCTTTCACGTGAGCTACAGCTTTCATAAACCGGTCGAAATGGACTTCTGTTTGATTTACTAACACTAAAATCCATGAACTTGGAGCTGACCTCCATTTCTGCCCCAGCACTGTATACTTCTGGAGAACCTACATTTTCTTCGTGTCCATCCTTCATAACAGAGTTAGAAGTATGACAAACATCTTCAGTATTACATGGAGATGAACCAGCCGAAAGAGTGGATTTACTTGACATGGATTTTTTGGTACTAAAAGTCCTGCTTCTGAATAGTGGCTTCATTAAGCGTTGACCAGTTGCTGCAAATTTGATGGCTTTAGTTCCACTTAGGATCGATGAACAAGAAGCAGGTGGAAACCTTTCTTTCTGCTCCTTCTCAAGACATATAGATGCACCTGGAACATCAGTTGACACCGGAATAAGCTCATCTAGCACCTCAAGTTTCCTTTCAGTTACAGGGCCAATGGAAGAATAATGTCGTATCTGTTTTTCACTATGCTCAGACTCTGTATCAGAAAGGTCACTACAAATACTACTTGGACCTGTCTGATCTTTAGCTATTGTTTCAGTCTTATCCTTTTGTCTGACATTATTTGCTGAATTACTAGAGGAGCTAGCTTCACAATTTGATTGTGTTACCTTGTTTATGTGCTCCCTTGTACACTTATTGCCCAAAGGAGTCAATGATGTGCTGCATTCTGGAACAAGGGATATCTCCACCAGATCCCCTCGACCTTCATTAAGCGGATGACCCGATTGATTTTCCTCAACAACCACAGCTCTATAAAGTCTCGTTATAGTTCCTGCTTCTGAATGCCTAGACATTCCTGTTTTCGCCAAACGCTTCTTTAAAGTAGCCATCTCAGATGCCTGCGAAATGCATAACCCTCTCAGTGCCTGCTTTAAACTCGTGGACTCTGAAATTCCGATTCCAGATGCTTGAGGGGAAGCTACTCTCATTGGTCTTTTCATGGCACTCTTATCCAATGCATTTTTGGAATGGCCCTTTTCTTGACCTTGAACTCGGAGAGAATTCCTCATTTCTATTGCCTCAAAAAGCTTGTTGATGTCTTCCTCTATGAAATACTTCTGCCTAGGCATCGATGCGTGATACTTTTGACAATGGTCATCAACTCTGCCTTCACAGTCCCCTTCTACAGACTCCACAATCTCACTCGTGCCAGTCATCATAGTTCCTAGTCCAATCTGCCACTAAAAATCTGATATGATGCTATGCTAACCCATCTCCAAAAAAACACATTAAGAAAACAAGGCACCCCAGATGCTGCCAAGCACTCTGCTTAGGGCTTTAACACATTCCTCAACTATAGTTGCATTGAATCAGTATTAAGCTGCCTTAACTGCGGTCAATTTGCAGAATCTACCCACTGAAATAGAAACAGTAGAGAAAATGAATTGCCACTCGTATTAACAATAGCTACAAATCTATGAGCAACCAAAAGATCTTCTAACAAATATTTGCATTCATTCATCCTTTTGAAATGCTGATAGATTGTTATTGACTATTTTTACCACATGAGATATAATATGACTCTAGTCCTATAAATTACTCAACTACCATCTTAACTTGATCTTTAAGGCAACAAACAGCTAGTTAAGCTTACACAACAGAAACAACCACCACATCAACTTGAAATGCAATATAATAAATAATAGAATACAGTACTATTCTTCTTGAAAATTACTGATTACCTTTTGATAGCAAGCATAAATAGCATTTCAACATAAAAATCTATAGTGCCAGTCACAAGAGTCAACCTACAAGCAAAAAGCTCACCAACCCAAACCAAACCTCACACACATACAGATGTGCACTCTATCAGTAACATCGCCTTAATAGAGCAAGGTGTCACAGATATGAATTTGTTAGCCTTAATTCTGTTGCTACTATTTGAGCCAAAAAATAATAAAAATAAAAAAAAAAAAATTCCACCTCTTGAGCAATTCCATATTTTAAAATCACTAGTTGATACGTTCTAGTTCAGAAAATCTACATCTTGTTTTCAATAAGATTCCGAAGCCAGAATTATCCATAGTGTTTCACTAAAGAAAAAAGTTCCTCCTTATTCCCAAACTTAAAAATTCAAACAAAATTGCCCTGAAATTTCAAGTATACAATCAGAATACACCAAGAGAATCAGTAATGCTTTTAGCACATATTACAGAAAACGTGGCTTATTATGCCAACCCAAGAAAAAGACAGCTCCAGCCAAATAACAATAATTAAAAAAAAAAAGTTAAATTACTTCACGAAAAGAAATCGACAGATTAAGGGAAAAAAAAATCAATTTTTAAATTGATTACAAAGTATGAATTGTCTTACAGAAACACCCAAATAAAAAGGAAGAACGAAGAAAAAACACAACACGTCTACAAAAATCCACCAACAAACTCAGAAGAAATCACAGTAATTAGATAAACAAATACGATAAATTAGGGAGAAACAGAGAGAGAACACACCTGATGTGTTCAAAGATGGCGAAATTTAAATGGGTCGGGTTTCCACCCGGTAAATATTGAGCTACCAATAACGATTTACTCCAGAGGATTCAAACAAACACAAAAACTCGCACAACCCACATCATTAACCATAGCAGAAAACCAAGAAAAACAACAGAGACAGGTTGAGGGGTGGTAGTACAACCATAATAACTCCTCGTACAATATACAGTATGTATGTGAAGCTAACAAGTTTTGAAATTCAAGAAAGGAGCTTTTTTTCGAGGGATGTTGGTGGGTAAAAAGAATTCAATGAAAGAAAGAGGAAATGAACAGAGAAAGAAGAAAAGAAGAGTGGAAAATCACGAGAAATTGAGTATGATCAGTTCAAGAACAGTAGGATCACTGTGTTTTTTTCTTCGTCCATCTTTTCTTTTGTGTTTCTTTGATTGTGGGATTTTTCTTCTGTTCCGTGCTATAAATTGGCGGAAAGAAATTAGAAAAAAGGCCAACTCTGGAGTAGTAGAAGTATTGTATAGAGTACACGAGAATACGTAAGGAATAGTAGGCTGCCTGCATTGACTCCACTCTCTTTTTATTCGTGACTCCCAACCATCACCCATAATATACACTATCCAACTTTTTTTCTCTGTTCTATTTGTAAAGTCGAAAGACAAATTTACGCTTATTGCAATTACTTTCGAACTGAGAAATAGACTATTATAAACAATTTGTGAGTGAAGTATTCGAGATCGAGAATTTTTTTCGGTACGCGATACCTCCAACAAATATTTGCAGGTGTTACGGAAGAATTTGTGATTTGGTCGTCCGTAGTAACGATGATCAGTTGAGTCTTAGATATAGAATTTGAATCGAATATTTGCAGGTGTTACAGAAGAATTTGTGATTTGGTCATCTGTACTAAAGATGATCAGTTGAGTCTTAGACATAGAATTTGAATCGATTGTAATATATTAATGATTGTATCTTCTGTCAATTATGGTTGGATGTTTTCCAACATAATTAATTAATGAAGGTTTCTTTTATTTCAAAAAAAAATCAAATTTTTAGAAATTTCATTTCATTTTACTAATGAAAGGAACAAGCCAAGAAATTTGTTTCCTTTGAGGTTTGATTTGCCTATGTACTTATTGTTTTCTTTGGAACACAAGAAGAAGGCAAGAAGCCAAGTACCGTAAATTGTTAATATACGATGCCTAAACTTAAAAAACAATATTACAAGAATGTAAGTTACATATATCGTGTTAACACTAAATTAGAACTCCACTTGATATGTTAATTAAGCAACTAACTATAATGTATGCGTATGTCAGTTGAAATAATCATCGTACGAAGTACTCCCTCTGCTCCTTATTATAACGCATTTTAATTTGTCCTAGGTTTCTAATATACATTTTAGTTGATGAAAAAACCTTAAAAATATATTTTCACATTCGTTATATTCTTTTGATTGTTATGAAATATTTTAAAGATTTTTTCGTTAATTAAAAATATGTATAAGGTTAAAGTTATGACAAATCAAAATGACTTATATTAAGTACCGGAATGAGTATACACGATTTTAGTTAATGGAGAATTCATATATATAACATAAGTAAATTATGGTTAGAAACTTTTCTATTTTCTGGACTTAGAAACTTTTCTTAAAAAAAGCTTAATAGCAACCTCGTTTAATGTGCATTATGACATTGTTTGTTGCATGCAAAGCCGTGAACATCTCATAGATAATTATGCTCATTTCAATTAAATATTCATATTTTTCAATTATGATCATTACATAAGAAAAAATTACTTGGAAAAAAAGTCAAAAGGAGTCTAGCTAGGAGTTTAAAAGCTTTTCACCTAGGAGTAAAAGTTTCATGTTAATCTACGAGTTCATGTAGTACCACATTAATTGTTACCGACACTCGAGGAAAATAACATCAATGCGTTAATATTGATTTTCTTTCTCTCTGTCATGAATTCAGTAAAAGAAACAAGACATCAAAATCAAATGGATGGTTAAAGGGGAAAGAATCTTTAAGCATTTCTTTGCGATGAAAATATTTACATAATTTGGATTGTATTTTTGTTTAATTTCACCTCAATCGGTAGCAGATAACGTTTATTGTTACTTTTTATTGTTACTTATTATCAACTCGAAATATTAAAAACTACTCGCTTAATAACAATTACAATCTTCTGATCAGTTGTAACTCTTAATGAAGAATTCGTCCCAAAATATTAAGTAATTTATATTTTCATTCTTAGTATATTTAAAATTTAATTCCAAGTAAGACAATCATATTTTCAAGTCGAGAAGAGTATACACTAACTTACACTAATCGACAAAAACATTAACCTACTTAGTAGTTAGTACACTAGGTAGCTTTGGCATACGTCAAGTTTAGACATACACCATTCCTTAAAGATGTCTAAACTTCAAGCATATGCAAGGATAAATTATTGTTGGATGTTTTTGAATTAGTCAAAGAATGAATTTTTTTTAAGGTGAGTAAAGATTAATTTAATTAAGTGTTGTCAATAGTTAGTTTTATCTTATAGTTAGTATTATTCTATATGGTATTATCTTAGTTGTATGTTCCTCTATATAATTCATATGCAATAGTTATGGATGGTTGTTTAATGAAAGCATTTCTATTCCCTCAATAGTGTGATATATATATCACCGAATATATAAGTCATATGTAATAATCATTAATGATTGCTTACATTCTATTCTTTAAACAGTGTGATATGTACCACTGAATATTATCTTACGACGATTTACTTTACCATATGCCAACATGCATTTCTAATTTATTTCAAACTAACTCATTCTTTGTTAACCTTTTCGAAAGATCGAAAGTGAGTGAAAATCACTTTGACATCAAAGAGGAATAGGAATATATCTGTTTGTCAATATGGAATAACAATTTTCACGCTATGATTTTGGTTTAGGAGTGGAACTTCGGTAAGATTTGCATGTAAAACAGAGTCTCGGGGGTCTCCCGATAGTAGACACTCCGATACTTAAGTTAAAAATAAGATTATGGAAAAACATTATATGATAATTGGTGCTAGAGATAGGCATGGAATTACCTTGAAAGATGCCCGAATCTTACTAGACTTCTTATTACTGAACCGTCTCTGTAAGGTCGGTTGAACTGTAATTGACGGATAGGGCGATCCGATGATCCTTGCTGGATATGGACTCGTCAGTTAATTTAGCTATTATTCTGAAAAAAAAAAAAAAAATCGATGAAAGGTGAATGAGATCAAAGCCAATCCTCCTTACTTTCCCCTACACACAATACAATTTGGATTCATGATTTTAACTAGTCCAAGGGATTAATGCTATTTGTTGTGGTGGACTTTATTTTTACAATTTGCGTTTCCACTTTACAGCCGTAATCCAGCAATAAACAAAAAACACATTAAAAAAAAAAAAAAACTAACCAGGATAAAAAGTTTCCTAAGATTATTTTACGTGGTTATTATGAAAAGCATACATTAGCTTAATTGGGAAAAGAGACGTCCTTTCCAGAATTCGTGTATGCAATTCGATAGATATGGTTGGGCGTTATAATTATCAGAGCAAAGAACTAACTTTCTTTTTCTTTTTCTTTTTTTTTTTGACAATAATAATAATTCCATTCACTGGTAGACTCTTGTTTTTTCCTTTTTCTTTTTTTTTGTCATTTTGATCATAAGAATATTTTTCCACAGTT